ATCGTGTTATCGATATCGAATTAGCTCTCCACTTTATGAGTCTATGATTACGAATTTATTGGAATCGCAATCACACACACGGTTGCGTCCATATTAATGGCTCTCGGTGAGCATGTAAAATTACGCTTAAATATACTGGAGGAAAAATATCTAAAAAGTAAAGGATATTTATTCGGTAGATACTAATAACCTATACTTATTTAAATCTAAATTGTTTGATTTAAATAAAAAGATTAAACGATTGCTTTCGTGAGAAAGTTATAGATTTAAGAAAATGTATATTTTCTCATGTAAAAACATATATATTAATGTAAATAAACATCTCACCGAATAAGCATTTATTTCTTAGATTTTTTTCTCTCAGTGTAAGCGCCAATGGAAATATTATATTTTGCATGAACAACGAACAAGGAATGTCGCAGGTAAATGTTTTTCCTTGATTTGTGTAAATATAAGCGTTTCTCATAAGTAAATATAATTTATTTCATCTATCGGTGTACAAAAAAATCACTTAAAAATCTGCAGCGCGCTCATTTATCAAGCGCCCCCTCCTCTTTTCGTTCTGCTGCGAACCAATTACCGGCAAACTCTTTTGTTAATTACTTCACGATTGGAGGCAGTTCTGATTACCCGGAGTACGAATAAGTAAGCACCAAAGTACCCGGTAATTAACTATTAATTATGCGCCATGTCCCTTAGATCACAATTCTGTAATCGCTCAAGGTAGCGACGATCTTACATGCACACAACTCGGAATTTCAAAATTGTGAAACATAGAAAAGACAAAAAAAGAAAATAGAAACGTAAGAGAATGTCTATTTTTAAGAGCGTAAAAAAATAGCATTCAAATTTCGACTCGGCAAGATTCCCATAACTGAGAATTGATCGGGGAAAACCGACGTTGATCCTTCCCTCTCCCCCTCCTCTCTCTCTCGCTCAAAATACGGATACGCGAGAGAGCTAATATCCTCTCGTATACGGCGCATCGCACCGTAACGCTCGTCCGTCTGCCACCCTCCGCTATTTTTTCTCATTTTCTTCTTTTTTATTTCTTTTTTAATACCGAGCCGCGCGAAACGCTGCGTCGACTACCACTTACACCGGGATTCGTCCGGACCGGGTGAAATAATTTTTTACACCGGTGGCAGTCCGGAATCAGAGTGGACGGATTATACCTCGGAGTGGCCGCGTCAATTAAGAGATAATCACGGTGTTAGGATGTACGTGTTCGTAACGCGCCCGCGCGCGCACACGTGCAAAGCGCACGTGCGCCGCCGCTACGCGGTTACGAAGCGCGGTACAAACTTGTGTCGGACAAACTCCGATTCTATCTCAGTACGTTAACGTTGCCGGAGGTAAAAGAGGAGGTGTGTTTGTGCATGTGTGTGTGTGTATAAGAGAGAGAGAGAGAGAGATGCACGAGGGTGAAGGGAACAAGAGAAATGGTCGACGGCGCGGCTTGAGCTATCTTCCGTCTGGCAATGCTCTACTGCGACTACATTAGCCGGCTTATCCGCTCATTATGTGGACCGACGATCGCACCACTCCGTCCACCAACGAGCCCCGACCCTCCTTCCTAAGTTGCTCGCCCCGGGGGATCATGAGACGTCCGTCCTTACCTTTCGAGGCTTCCGATTGCCGTGACGATATCGAAATCGAACGAAACAGAAATGGCACAACCCGCGCGATCTGTGTTTTATTTGCCCTCTGCGGTCCCGTGTCGAGCTCACTTCAAGGTCGCTTTGGAGAGACGTTCGGTCCCAGTCGGCTTTATAAAACACCTTTAGGCTCTCGCGGTGTGGAGAAATGCTTAATTTAGTGTTAATATCGCATTCTTCACGGATTCGTTGCGAGACGTCGGTAATAAATGCATGGAAGACGCGGCACTAACTCGGAAGGCGAAGCAAACCTTTTCGTGAATAAAAAATTGCCGATAAAATACATTCGGTATAAATATGTTACTAAATATGTTGCAGTGATTACCCAGTAAACACGAAACAACAGTGATATTACTTCGATATCATAAATACCCGTCCAATAATGGGTAAATGCAATACACTCTCTAAATCCCTTGGAATGAAATCTCACTCGAAAAGTAGAGCGGCCACCGAGTTACTCGAATTCGAGTGACTTTTTGTTCGTATGGAATGAATTCTCCACTCTGGATTGTGTTGAGTGGATGCTTTCAATAAAAGTTGAAGAGCGAATCTGATGTACTCTATCACGAGAACATATTCACACCATTCGATTGAAACCTATTCGCTTGTACACGGAGAAAAATCATTTTGCTGTTGCAACGAAACCGCATCGTTGTTACTGCACATTCGACAGCGATAATATTCAATTACGTTAACCAAATTAGCGAATTATTGTTTTATAAAGCAGAAATAATTTTATTGCCAGTATAGAACAATTTTTCCGAGTGAATTTGTCACGTTGGGACACGTTAATTTAATATTAAAAATTGAAAAGTCGATACATGTAGGTAACCCAGAAATGTTATCGTTTAAATTCTTATAATTTAAATTATCGTTTAAATTCACCCATGGATTTTTAAACGCAAAAAGGCAATATTTCTTAGTTCGAGATTATATTACAATAGGCACAATATGTATTTCCCCTTTTCAGAGTTAGATCAAGTTCTCCAAATACACTATTGATTTTTCGTGGCATCATAAAATATTAAAATTATATCGTTATGTTCAAGCCAAATAATTTCACTAATTTTTAACAAGTTAAATTAAATAAAGCTTGATATGTAACCCTTTTCATTCAAATTTAAAATACTTATTGATATAAAAGACGTGCAGCATACTGTTAAAATATATAAATATTATCATTCAGATTTACCTGTGTGAGTTTCCAACAGAAACGAAATATAAGAAAAAGACGGGCCATTCCGTAATGACTCAGAGATGATTGATACTGTCTACACGTAGATGTATTCTACGCGCAAACGCCCAACCCTGGATCTAAGTGCGTGCATATGCATAATGATTTTGCAAATAAAGACCAAACACTAAACTGCGACAACACCAACGTTACAGTTGGAAATGCGGCGCGGACTGATCTGCATTTAATCGATGGCGAGGCACCCCGCGTTAGAATTACGGTATGCAACTGTATCACGTTCTAACACAAAAGAGAGAGAGAGAGAGAGAGAGAGAGAGAGACTGTTGCTGGCAGTTATTGGATGTACGCGTGGTAGTAAAAGGCGATGCTCTAACCGATCGAACGACGATGGCACAAGAGAAAGGACCGGTCGCTGAAAAGGCTGCACTTAACGCGGCGGATATATATCGCCCTGCAGGATGGGGTGGAAGTGAAATATGGCCGCGCTTACCGGACCGGCTAAATGTACTATTTATTGTCCGGTCTCTTTCGGAGATCCTGCGTCGTCGTGAGTTCGCGAGCACGCGTATTTACCAACCGAGAGCCAGAGAATTGCTCGCGTTCCTATTAAACATTCGCCGCGATAGGTACCTCTGCGATCGCCTTTAACGTCTTCCCGTCGAGCTCGACGAAGAAGGCGGCACGTGTCATCCCGAGTCGAAATATTGGCCTTACGGTTAAATCTTTAATTCTGCAAAACACTAAGAACTGAAATAGCAAGGTAGATTTCATTTCGATTCCAATAATATAATCCTCCTATTCTGATCCCGATAATGTCTTAAATTTCCGTCTTCGCTGTTTCACCATCAAAATAGGTCGTTCAAGTTGAATCTGTATGAGAACCAAGACTCCTGTTTTCTCGCTGCAATCATGTTGATTAATAACGCCAAAAGCGAGTAAACATATGCCGAAAATTCTTGCATAATACGAAGTGAAGTTGAAGTAAAAGTATACAACCATAAAATGATACTTGTGATCGATTGAACACATTGGTCGAATGTTCCAGAAACTGTGATTTTATCAATCGATAGATGGCCATAAAATTAACGTGGCAAAATCACAAGAAAAGACAGAGCAAAAGAAAGGCTGTATGCCATGTTAATTTTATGATTATTCATTGATTATTAGAGCAAGGGAAAAGTTTTGGAATGTAGGAATATAGCGAGGGAAATATTTCACAAGTGTGCTCAATCAATTGCATGTATGTCACTTTATAAGCCTATCCTTTTATCCGAGTAAAAACATATCTAGCCTGCCTGAGTCAAGAGCTAGTAGTTAATCAGTACAGACTGCGCTACATTTTCTAGCTCGTTTTTCATCAGCTGATTATTCACTAAAAAGAAAAAAGGTTTTATGATCTAGCCGTTGTCTAGGCATTATATCAAACATTATAGAATATGGTGCTGTCTGTTCTAAAATATATGAGCCAGCTATTATAGTACGTAATTAGCACTTAGAATAAGGTAGCGATTTAACATTGAAAGTAGAAATTGAAATATCGAAAGCAGAAATGAACGTAATATTACTGCCTGGCCGATACTAGTCATGCTTTTTCACCTCGCAACTGTAATTTCGGATCCGTTTAACCATCTACTAACCTTAGCTAACTTATTTATCTAGCCATTACCTAGCCGCTAGGAGAAGTGAGCGTTACATTACTGGCTAGTAACGCCGTTAGACACAAATTTACTACCTCATGGCTAGACACCCATGAGGTTCAATTTCTGCTGGAGTAATTCGATGTATCTTGCAAGAATCTTGGGCACGCGTTGTCCCGCTTCTAACGTCACCTAATAAGGCTACAGCGAAGGATCAGGAGTCTTAAAGAGATTCAAGAGGAAAGTTAACGAGCGTTAATAAGTCAGTATACACACATACACACATGGTGATTATTCAAATAAACATTAAGCATTAAACATTACAAGAACAAACCTTTCGGCATAGTTGGAATCATTACAAGTTAATGAGTTCATAAGTCAGTATCGTCAAAGGTTTTTTACCAGTCTGTAGACCACCTAGATAAGCGCATACTATCCTTAAGATAGCCTCAACATTTCGACTCAGGGTCATTCTTATCCGGCGTGAATTCGCGCGATTGTTCGTCCTACCTTTCAGAAACGCCGCAGCCCCAGCGGACGATGCGGGTGAAATCTCCTGGCTCTCACCGTAATACTTCACCAACTGCCAGTCCTCCCTCAGTTTCTTCAGCTTCTCCTGTCGAGTAATATTTGATCAGACAAGACAAATTGCTGCGCGCTTGATCGATGGCGTTTAATTAAAAGGTCGATATAAAATCAGCGGTGCTTTTCCATTACCTGTAGTTCCACGGAGACCGGTTGCTTCGCCGACTCGCACTCCTTTTCCAGATTAGTGTAGTTCTCCAACACGTCTTTCACCTCCATCTCACGATCTTCGACCTTGGACTGGAAAACGCAAGGTGGAGATGCAATCTCCCGCCTCTTTCGCGCGCGAAATATTACGCACGGAAAAGATCACAACTCACCATGATGTTCCTAATCGTTTCGTTGCGCTCGTGCTGCGGCAATTCCTGGGAGATGCTGAGTCGCGTTCGCGTCTCCATAACCCACGCCATGACAGCATCCAAGGTGCAGATATATTTTCTGAGCGACGCGAGCTTGCATTCCACGTATTCGCGGTGGTTCGAAAGATTGGCATTGGCCTGAAAAAGCGAACGGAGAAATTGAGCCGTATCGCTCGCAGAATCTCTCGAGAATTTCGACCGGACAGAACGGAAAATTGGTCGTTACGGAAGATAATCGATACCTTGTCCATATCCGAAAGAAGCTTGTTGCTCTCATCTTCTTCTCTGGAAACGTTATGCTGACTCACTAGCAAGGCTTGCAAGCCCCTTTTCCGGGACAAAAGTTCCTCTTCTCTCGCCTGTTAATAATATCAGCAATAATCGGTACGTTAAACCACATGATTCGACACCGCGCGTTCCCGAGAGAAGCCGATCTGGTCCGTTACATTCGCAACCGGTAACGTAGTCTGCGTCATTTCAAATCCTCCGGCTGAATACCGGTAACGTAGTACCACGTCATTTCAGATTTCTTAACTGAACGCCGGTAACGTAGACTCACGTCACTTCAAAATGTTTAGCCGAGCACTTTCGCAAATTGTATGCTCGGCCAAGGGTTTCGCCTCAAAAACAAGCCGGCTGCGTTAAAAGCGCCGTAATGAGGGGTGGAAAATTAATATCGCGGATCGTTTTAAATATTTCACCTTCAAATCGACCGGAATTACTATTTGATACTTAAATTCGTCGGAATAATCATTCGAGACGTTGAAAAATTCATCCGAATTATTATTTCACGTTTCGAATTCGCCTGAATGAAAATCCCATATAAATCCCATCAGTCGGCCCCGCCGGTGGGAAACAACAAAAGATAAACCGATAGGCAAGGAATGTAGGCGGGAAGCGGTATAAAGTAAGAGTTCAATGCTATTTATGTCCTGGCACGGCTCGGTATGTGCGGTCATGAAATGCAGAGAGATATTATTAGGACAGGTTTCGGTTTATTTGATTATGCTGCGCCGGACCACGACCCGATGGAAACTGAGTCACGGAGAGAATAATTCCGTTACTTATCCAAGTCGCGTCTCTAAGCAGAGCGCTGGAGGGTGCTTTTCGACGGTATCAGTCGACGTGCTACTGAATATCACGAACGCGATGTTATTTTGATTTGACGATATATCACATGCGGCTTCGGTGCAACGGTGGTCCTCGCGCGAGTGAATGTGTTCCAGATTAAAACTGAATTCTCTCGTAACGACGCATCTACTGTTTACAACGATTCGAAATCTATGTGTGTGTGTGTGTGTGCACTTGAGGAGCGAAGACAGAGACGTAACGAGGTTTTTCGCTGCGACGATGAGCGTTTCCTGCGCAGATACCGGCGGGAGGAGAAGGGAGGAATGTTCGGAGATTCCGTAGGAACTCACCTTAATTAACGACAGCCTGATTGACAGGGAGGTCTCGTCCGACGGATTCGCCGCGGACACCAGCAGAGTGTTCACCTGCTCCACGATGTTGTACGCAGTTTCCAAAACGCGGCTGTCGTTGCTCACTTTTCTCTCCATGGCGAAGTTCCTGAAACAATACGTCAACGTGGGTATATGCTCTCGGTAATACACGGCGGGAGCGGCGCGGAGAAAAAAAATAGCGCAGCGGCTGAGAAGCGGCCGGTTTGGAAAAATGTAAACGGCGCGCGGCTGTGTGTCGTAACAGTGCGACGGAGATGACGAGTTCCGCTATTCTCTCATAGAGAAACAAGATCTACAAGAGGAACTGTGTTCGTTTATTCCGAGGTTATTCTGAGTTGACTGACTTCACCACAGCAGCACAGGCAAATCACAACTGAAATAGCTCAATGCTGGGCCGAGCTTTCCTCGCAATGCTACATGCTTGTCTGCATTAGCAAGTCATAACTTCATAATTCATAATTCCGAATCATGAGAGCAAATGAGCACCGCTCGCACGGGCTTGCGAAACTGTCGGCATTTATTTAAATTTCAGCCCAACGCACGTATCAGTCGACGTCACGCATGCTGTACCGTTTTCCTAGACGGAGAGTCACGCGATTTTGAGCCTTACTGTGAGGCTGAAAATTGCGGAACACAAAAAGTTATATAAATCTCTATTGAATCTCTCAGCCGTTTCTTTCTTTTAATTCAAGTATCATGCGCTCCAATCCAAATATTAGAGTTCCCCTCTCTACGTATACTTCTATAATGACTATTAGCAATACGTAGTAAAATATAGTAAAATATAGCATTCGTCACAGTAATAAAACTGCCGAGCTACTAATATTTTGGTAATTAGAACGACAAATTAGTTTTACGAAATTTGTTTTAATTCGCCATCCTGTAATAATGGAAATGATGTTACATGTAAAGCAATGATCTTTTGTGCTACTATTAATCCACTTTGACACATCGATATATTTGGATACATCAATCTATCGAGATATCGGTGTGTCGACCTATCTATGTATCGAGTGCATCCCGTCAATTCATATCACCAGCGCCATTCGGCGGAACGTAAGAGAATTAAACATTGGACGATATTTCCGAACGGGAATTTTCGATATTTATAACTTTGAAGCCAAACAACACGATCCGCAGAGCATTTCGAGCAGAAATACAATCGCACGGAGGGATAAAATGACTCCCGCTGAATCGACTGAGCACACTTAGAAGCCGATCCGATCAACCGTTTCGCTATAAATGACTTCCAGCCGTCTCTCAATTAGCGTCGTCGCGTAATATTCACGGGCGGTTTCGCGCACTTCACTTGGCGCGAAACACCATCACCGTCTCTTAATAAATACCTCCGAGGCAAAATGTCGTTTTTTCCCTGAAACGTCACTCGGGCCTCACTCACCTTTCTTTCCGCGCGTCCACCTTGTCCAGCAAATTCTGCCAGCGGTGTCTGATGTTCTCAATCATGCTCTGTAATTCCTTCACATCCTCCGCAGAAGCACGGTTGGATATATCCGCGCTCACCGCGTTCACATTATTCAACGTTCTCTGCATCCTGGAAACTTCCTGCTCCAACTCGAAAGTCTTCGTTTTGCTCGTCTTGGAGTGGCCGAAGACGCCGAACTTCTTCACCGCGTCCTCCATCTTGTCCAGCCATTCCGAAAAAGTCCGACACGTGCTGTGAAGCTCCCGCCACTTCTCGCAGCATTTGATCCACCGATTGTGCCGCTCCACGTAGTTCTGATTGACGCTCGTCCACTCGTCCTGCAGTTTCTCGCTTAAATATTTGATCTGCTCGGCCTGCTCCCGCTTCGCTTGCCGCGTGACATTCTCGCAGACGTAATTCACCTCGTCCACGCTCGGCTTCAAAATATTCAAGGCATTGCTGATCTTCTTCAAACACTCCTCCTGGTTCGCGAATAACTCGTAGTCCTTGCCGCTCAATGGTAAGGAATTCAAGGATCGCGACACGGTCGACGTGGCTTCTCGCAACTTGCTGACCCGCGCTATAAATTCTTGTGGATTAATGCCGCCGACATCCTGGAGAAAAAAATGCTCATCAATGATTCCATATATTTCTCATACGCACAACGGATCTCAATGATTGATTGACAATGAAATACTTTTGTTGATTAAGCAAATATTTATTACAAAGTGTTGCGTGACGCGTACAAATTTAAGGAGCATATTTCGGGTGTGAATTAAAGTAAAAAAGTTCCATAAACGTGGATCCGATGCGAAACGGTTATCCATCGACAAGTGTTTAAAGTTCATAAATGTTAACGCAATCTTGTGGAATATTGTTTTTGGTAAAAATGGAAAATAAAAAAATATAGAGATCACAGAAATTGTTCGAATTGATGTTCGGCATTGATACACAGCGGAAAATTCAGAACAAATAATATGATTGGAAAACTAATCATCTAATAAAAGTTATGTCTGATTTTTTCGTCTGCTACAGTACTGATAAAATTAATCAAATTAATGAAATCGTACCTCATTAACAGCCGAATTTGCATCTCCAATGTATCTAAACTTTTTTACTTACAATTACCTATGGAACACATTCTAAAAGTTCATCAGTTTTCTTACGAAAAACACTCTGTATATTTATTAATATATATACAGAAAAATATATATTTATCAATATATATACAAATATATATATATTTATTATACAAATATTTATTAATATTTATTATTGCGAATATTTATTGAACATACCAATTCCACCTTCTTGTCAGTCACGTGCTTGTCTTTATCCTTGCTGCCGCTGAATCTCTTGAATTGCGAACTGACTTTCTGCCAGTTGCTATGGATGTTGTAGCGCACAGATTCCGAGTGGCCAACGTTTAATTTTCTCAATTCCACGGCTAACTCGTTCAGCTTGTGTATCTGCACTTGTTTCGCGTCGAATTCCTCGGTGAACGACTCCAATTGTCCCTCGTAATTGTTAGCTTGCTCGAGTTTCAACGGCACGTCCCTAAACCAATCCTCGAATTCTGCGACCACGTTATTGTACTGCCGTAAGATGTCCTCCGCCCTTTGCGCCTGTTTCCTGCGTATTTCGATCTCCGCCATAACCTGATGCCACTTGCTCCTCAGCTTGTCCTGATGTTCGTTCTTGATTTTCTCGGCCCGCGTGGGGTCGGTCATGTGTATCGTCATCACCAAGCCGTCCCCTTTACTGATCAAAGCCGCCGCGTCCGGTGCGAGAATGCTAACTTCACTTTTGAGTATCTGAGAGACAGAAGATATGCAAGGGAAATTTCAGGTAATTATTTCAAAATTGTAATAATCAGGTTCGGTTTAAAAATCATAAATAGAAAAAATTGGATGGAAATTAATTGCGGATATATATGTTGGTTGTTTATATTTAATATAATAATCAATACGTAAAAATGATATATATGGAATTAAAAGGATAAAAACAAGCATAATTATAAAAATGCGAAAATACGGAAAAATACGGAAAAATCCGACGATACGATTATTCCTTTAGTAGTGTATATTTATTTTTATTTTTAAATGTTACATATACACATATATATATTTATTTGTTTAACTACTGCATCTTAAAAAAATATATAACCAGGAGCTATAAAGAGAAATATATTGTCAAATTTCTACAGGCTGTTATATACTTTATCGTTATCAGAAACTGTATACTTGACATTTCAATTTCTAAAAAACTAGATAGCCAATGTTCTTGTATTTTTTTTCTTTTATTTCTACAAGTGTCTTTTATCATCTCCCCGTTTTTCTATTAAAACCGTAAGAATAGTTTGGTTACTCGAATTAAAAGCGTGATATCAGAAGCCGTTTTTGTACTTGTGTATAATACATGTAATTAGTGCTAACTTTGACTTCAATTATCTCAGTTTCGGTATGTTCAATCTTTCTCTAATTTTACATACGTATGTTTATATATATTTTACATATGTATAGATCGTGTTTCGATCAATACACGGCTGAAATTTGGAAAAATGTTTAAGAAAGGAAATTAACGCGCCAACTACCTCAAACGCAAACAATATATCCGCAATTGGCTTCTACCGTCTATTTCCTACTCACGAACACTTCGATTCCCTCCGAAATTAGCAGGGAATATAAGAAAGAAAAGGATACAAGAGAGATACATATTCGATCGCACAAACCTCGAGGCGCTTGCTCGGGTCTTTCTCATTGGAGATACCGCTGATGCTCATCAACATGACGTCCATCCGGCACAGCATCATTTGCGCCGCCTGTTCAAACTCGAAGACGCTTTTCTCCAAAGCGGTCCGAGATGTGCCTAGGGGGCCTTTGAAGAGCGCCTTCGCCTCCGCCCGGTGCTGCGCGAACGGCCGCGTTTTCTCGACTTTAATCTGCAAGAAGAAAATCATTCCCGTGGGAGACACCGGACGCCGAAGAGTGCTGAAACCTACGCAACGTCGAAAGAAGTAACGCGAGTTGCCGGTGGACGTCGGTGGCACCGTGCGCATGCACACGCGTTACCTTGTCCAAGAGGTGCTCAACATGCTCCCCTAAATTCGGGTCTTCCCCGTCCGAGCTGGAACTACCGACATCGATCTCCGTATCGTCCGAGAAGATCAGAACGTCGTCCGTCTCCTTGTCGCTGCCGTAGAAGCTCTCGCAGTCTTCCAACGTGTCGTCCTTCGACAGACTCCTCGCGCGTTTCGGTGTCTTCCTGCCGGGTCTCTCGTCGTCGCTGCGACTCGCGCCACCCACGTTCTCGTACGTCCTGGAGTACTCGGTGCTCCTTTCGGACGTGACTTTGCCCTTCAGTCTCATTTCTCGCGTACAACGACTTCTCGAGTCCCGAGACTTCCCGAGTCCTTCGTTATCGTCTAATATGAGGTACTCCGCGACGCTCTCCGTATCTTTCCACACGGAGACGGTGCTCCTCGGCTTCGTCCTGTTCGACGCATCGGCTTCCGTCGAACCGTCCTCCTGGTCGGCGTCTGAATCCAGTTTCAAGACGAGTCTCTTGACGTTCCTCGCGGGAGACGTCTTCTTCTTCAGGATCGGCACCAGCTCCTTCTTCTTGCTGACTATCTGCTCCGCGAGACTACCACTGGCGACTACCTTCCCCTTACCCTCCTTATCCTCCGTGTCGGTGTCTATGGACTCGGGCTCCGTCTCCGTGTCTTCGACGATCTCCACCCTCTCGACCACCTGCGGCACCAGGCCGACGCTGACGTTGGCGCTCGGCAGGTACACGTGATCCTCGGGAGAGGCGATCGACTTGACGATCTCCATTTCCTTCACCTCCACGACGCGGAACGGATTCTGCTGGGCGCAGGCGAACGTCTCGGTCTCCGTCGCGGTCAGGGTGTTGCTGGACACTTGGGAGAAGAGTTTACTGTTCTTCGAGAGGAAGAACTCGTCCTCGTCGACGTTGTCGGAGGCCGGTGACGGCAAGTCATCGTCTACGACGACCTGCGGCTGAGAGGTCTGCACGACGTCGGGCACCGAGCTCATGTCCAGCTTGCGCCGAACGGTCCTGCTGACGTCCACGAGCCGGGCCTTGACTCTCTCCGACTTCGCGGAGGACTTCCTGCTGCGGTGCGGCACGTCGATCGGCGAGCTCTCGGGCGTGCTAATGACGGCGTGGTTATCGTCGAACGCGGGGTTAAGGTAGCCTATCCCGTAAATCGCCTCGTTCTCGTCTATCAATTGCTTTTCTTTTCTGGCGAGGTGCGCCGAGCTTTGCTCCGGCTGTTTGCCGGCGGGCGATCTGTTCCGCCTATGATTGTCTCTCCCCTTAGTACCTCCCGCTTTAGCTCTTACTAACAAACTGTCTGTGATCTTGTGGATCCATTCCTGCGAAAATACGATAGGTGACAGAGAAACTCGCCCTTCTCTCGCAGCCGACAGTTAATTGGAAGAGCATGTTAATAGGTGTGACAATATCAAGCGTGATGTATCTAGCGAGAGTGATCAATGCGGTTTTTTTCACTGTGCACATGTGAAGCTGAATCTCTCGTGTGTGTCCATCACCACAATGCCAGAATCTTTGCGCTATGCGATCTCGAGACGATCGACTTCTTCTCTAGCCCTCGGTCGCTGAGAGCTCGCCCTCGACAACTTCGCTCTCGCGTGAAAAAAGTAGCTTTTTTGTACAAGGGGAGAGACAACGTGACAGAACGATTGATCGGCAAGAGTCTTTCCATTCACCAGATTGCATGTACTCATTCCGAGTCAATAATTGCACTATTTACAGAGACAGAGCCACCTCTCGGACAAGATCGAAATATACATATATTCTGTGCATATATATCAGGTAAATAATGGTCAAAGTAGCGTACGTATGTCTACATGATATGTACATATTATGTCCATATACAATTGGGAAGTTTCAATAACAGAAAATATAATAATATAACAACATTTATTTAAAAGAACATATATATGTGTGTATATATAAATGGAACCGTACTTAAATCCTGCTGCAAATAAAGAACGGAATATGACATTTTCAATACAAAAATGATTATATTTGATGAAAATATATGTCATATTCGAAATAAGTAAATATGTGTGTGTATGTGTGTGTATGTATGAGCATTAGTTTGTATGTATATATGTGTTTGCATTTTTTTTAAATAATATAAAATCTCATACGTATTAATAAAGAAGTTTCTGATCTGATAGAGATATACGTAATGGTACTAACAAGCACAAGCATTACATATACCGATTGTTAAAGTGTAAAGCAAGAAATAAGCCATGAGTGAATAAGCAATGAATGGTAAAACTGACTTCAGAAACAAAACAAGATAACAGATAAATGAATTTCAATTTTATGTGAAAACGAAAAGCAAATACATACCTGTATTCTGTTGGAGATATCCTCCCATTTCTCACATATCTCTGCTACCTTGGGGTAAAATGCGTAACGTTGAAGTTGGTTGACTTTGGGCTTCGCCTCGATCATTTCACTCTGCACAGCCTAACAACGAAAAATTCAAAAGAACTTTTAAATATTATCACCATAATGTTTCCTCAAAATAGCTTTATTTTATGTGTTAAAGAATAAAATGACTATATTCGTATTTCATTTTATACATTAAACGTTCCTGGTTCCCCGCTACAGTCGTCTTATCTGATGACGTCAGAAGAACATTATGAGACAATATATGTCTAAAATTCTTACAAATCGATCACATTTGTAAAATATCCCGAAAAATCTCCTCTTGTTCTAACAATTAATAAATAATCGTAAAATTAACGTAACATGTTACTCCTTTTTAGCCTTCTTCTCATGATTTGATCTCTCATGATGATGTATTTTTCTCATTAAGTTCAAGGCTACTTATGATTGACTGTTAAAGTAAAACGAAAGTTTTCGGAATTATAAAAGTGCCCAACTGATCACAAGTGTCATTTTATGGACAAATCCTTTTACTTCAATGTACTCCGCAAGTATGTTGGACATACATTCCTTCGCTTCTGATGTCATTAATCAAGATGGCTGCGGCAAGAAAACCTTAATATCATGTACAAATATTTTGTTACCTTGCATTGTTCAAAATGACGCTCCGTAAGTTGGTCGATCGGAACCGCGTCTAACTTGTTTAACTTCTCTTCAACTTGCAGGAGCCAGGCGTTTATTTCGTCGACATTAGGCTCATCCTTTTACGAAAGAGAATAAATAAATATATATATTATGAAGGTATTAACAAAAACATTATATGAGCAATATTTACCTCTGAACCTTTACAGAGTCGCAATCTCTTTTCTGTATTCGCCAATCTCGCGATCACATCCGACATTTTTTCCTTAAGTTGTTCGAGGCACATGGGATCGCAAAACTTGGAAAATTCATCCTGCGACCTAAGCAATTTATCTCTTATGACGTTTAATCGCGGGATTACTTCGGTCAAAGTTTCCTAAAAGTCACAGTACAAACACAGTGTCACAATTTGTTGATATAAAAGAGATGCTTGTGATTTAACCGGTAAAAATGCAATTAACGTTCGATTATTCGCGTTTATGCGCGAGATAAGAAATAATCCAGATATCAGATCTGAATTGAGAGAACTCTCATTTATACTTACTCGCACATATATCGCGTTCACCGGTAGATCAGGCATGCTCTTCTGCGTATCCAGTTCCTTATTTATGCTTTCGACTGACATGTTAATATACGTCATATTTTTATGCATGTCACGTGACAACTCTAGAGCCGATTCTAATATGGATTTCGATTCCGTTATGTGAAGACCAAGCTGCGATGGAATAAAGACAGTTTAATATCCAAGCTGTGGTACAATATTCCCTCCCCTCTCCCCGCAATAATATATTTACGCACCTTATTATACAACTCCTTTAACATATCGATTTGCTTGGAAAGTTTATCAGGCTCGAGGACGGTTTTCTCCTCGACTAATTTCCTCCCAGTCACAATTATACATTCGATCTCGCCCTTAATCTCGCTCAGTGTCTGGTAAAAGCGCTGTAAAAAGCAATGATCGAATCGTTAGTAATGTGTGCACAGTAACTCTGTGGATTATATGAATGAGCACAAATGAGAGACGCTACCAAGCAATGTTTCAATTGACCCTCGATGGCTTCGGGATCTTCTGACGAGAGTTCCAGCAAACAAGTCGCTTCCTCTATCCCCCTGAGTTCTCGTAGAGCTCTCGATAATCTGGGCTCTATATTGGGTGTACATCGGAAACGTTGAAACTTCTTTTGAACCTTGGCATACTTCTGTTCGATAAGGGACATCTGTTCCTGCAGTCGAAGCGCCGCTTCTTGTTTACCGGAGGCTTTGTACGACTTAATTTGCAATGCTATTTCCTCGAGCGTGACGCGCTGCTGTTCCATCTCCTCCATTAATTTCTGCCCCCATAGTACGTAATCAAATTATATGTAAAGTAAACAAACTAGTAATTCAACAGATTAGTGAGAAATTAGTAAGAAATAAAATTATATGTGAAATAAACGGCCTGGATACATCGTATTTCGCGCAAGATCACACGCGCTAGTACAACCTTACATTCTTTTTCTTAGTATAATTGTTAGTAAGAACTATGCACGATATGCAGATGTTCATAACTACATTATCTCGATCATGCGGCTCTTCTCCATTATGTACATACGCAACGAATGATAAAATAGGTGTATTCTATACACACACTATATCTTTATTTGTCGATTTTTCATCACGTTAGAGAGATCGTAGAAGTAGCGATGTATGTATCACCAACCGACCTGATAATCGTGAGGCAAGTCATCAGCAGTGAGGTCGTAATCAAGACGTGCTGTTAGTACAGTGTCTATTTGTGTTAAGGAGTGCTGAAGAGCAAGGATGCGCCCTTCCGATTGCTGGGCTTGCTTCACGGATCCTTCCAACAGCTTGGCCCGTTGCCCTGCCTACTCAAAACATAACTTTCTATCTATCTTTCTAACTAAACTCACTCTCCACAGCGAGTTATAATATACATATATGTACAATGTGCAGTATTAATTGTCAGAATTACAACGATACTAATTATTAGATCTTTCCTCAGCTAAGCGGAGAGACAAATAATGTGTATACGATATATTGATATGACGTTCAAAAATTTCTATTTTAAAGTTCTCTCGTTACAGTCTTGCTTGATGACGTCAGAAGAGAGAAAACGCCAAAATTCCAGCGAAATACGTTGAAATAAAAGAATATGCCTATATATATTATTTTTCAAATATGTTGGTGTTTCCTCGTCTGTCTTCTGTCGCCATTAATTAAGATGAAAGCAGGATTTACTCGATTAAGATCTATTTTGACTAATTATGTATGATTTTATGGCTAACATAATTATGCATTGCTTGTAACCATTTTGAGCGATTCGCAATAATATCACATGCGATCACAGGCAGTTAAAGTCTCAAAAATCCGTGCTTGTACATGTACGTTCGAAACTGTCGTTACATACAATACAATGAGAAGACGATGCAAGCTCCTTATAAAAATGTATATACCTTAGTATAAATCGCACGCTTTATATTAGTGACAACTAACACAATAGCACATGTACGCTTGCATACCTGTTTGTTCAAGTTCTCCCATCGATTCGTCAATCCCTCCACGTCCGTTTCGATGGAATGAGTCATGATATTGCTGTCGATGAGTTGCCTGCCAATTTCTTGAATCTTCTCGAGCCTGGATTCCGGGTGATTTCGTATGTAATTTTCCAAGTCCTTAAACAACACCAATGTTTCCCGAGATTCTCACACGCACTTCTCAAAGTTATACAACCTACCTTATCTGAATTATATTAAATTTGTTATGAAGGAAGTTATCGCTGCCAAATGAGATTATCACCGCCAAGCTAGAGGAAGTACTCACATCGAGTTCTTCTGAGATTTCTTCCGCGTCTGCCGCAGTTTTAGGCGATTTCTTCAATCTTTTGTCCAACTTGTCCAACCAGTCGCTTTCCTGTGCAACCAGAGCTCGGAATTCTCCGTACTCATGACTGGCATTCTGCAAGTGTCTGTAGCGCTCGTATATACGATCCGTAACGTCGGTCCATCGCGCATTCAGGAAGGTGAACCGTCTGCCGAGTTCCTGCACAGACGACCCCTCCGAACTTAACAGTTTGTCATTTCCCATTTCGTTGAGATTTCGAAACTCTTCCACTCGTTTGTCAACTTTGTCCTTCAGCGCTTGATACCGACCGCGAACTTGGAAAAGCTCGACCGAGGATGTAATCCTCGATTCCATCGGTATATCCTTCTCCAGGCTCGACAGCCACTTTGTGAAATCTTCTATACCATTTATAATCTGACGAGAACAGAGCCATTAAGCAATCAGAGACGTTCGTATCATTGATATTATCTTTATACAAAATATATCATTTATATTATACTTTTCACACCAAATTTTCATACTTACATCATCATTCTTCTTCAAAGCGCTCTCGAACTTGTCGCCGAGACTATTGGCCTCGTCAACAAGAGCGGCCCATTTATAGGCAGCAGCCTCCAATTTGTTGCTCAACAAATTTGCAAAATTAGCTTCACACTTCTCGAATATCCTATTCGCCGACGTTCGAAGTGCTTCTATCTGCGGCTTCGTTTTGTCCATCTCCCGAGAGAAAGAGCGAATCTGCTCTAATTTACGTTCCGTCCGCTCGACATTATCTGTGACGTTGTCTTTCGACAAATCCTCCAGAAATATTGACGATTGTTTCAACCAAGATTCCAACGCGAAGAGTTCGCTATTGAAGGCTTGTATAATTGTAATATCTAAAATAGGTCGTATATTGCGTCGCATGAGCAATAAAAATAAAGTGGTGAAGATCGTAGTGACAAGTAAATGCGATCATGAAATAACTGAATTCTAAAGTGAGAAATTCCCTTCGCGAGTTGCGCGCGTATATTCGCATTCCGCTTACCTTTCACAAGGTTCTGTTGTTTCTCTTCCAAAATAACAGGTATATCACTCCACTTGGTGTTGAGATCCTGCAATTCATCTTTGAACCGTTGCGCCGTGGAGTCGTCGTTCATCTTCGCAATCAGATCTTGCCCAGTGGAATTAACGTATCTGAAAGTCTCCTCCTGTTCCTTCAAAGAGTTTTGTATATCTCTGAATCTTTTCATTTGCTCCACCATAGCCTTCTCATCAGAGACGATCACATGCTCCGACAATAGGACACCTTCCACGTTATTAATGAACAATGTCAGATTAGAAACCGCCTCGGTATATCTCTTAGGCGGTGTTCGATCGATGGCGTTGTTTACTTCGGTTAATCGCTCCGACAACCTGAAGGTGTTATTCAATGTTTTATTAAACAATATAAAATACAACTCGCCTGTGCCCATGGCGAGTACCTACATCGTGTAGAGTTTATCCCAATTAATGGAAAATATATTTATATCAGAATCGATGTCACTGCTCTCGGTACTTGCCACTTGGTTCAGCGACAATTCGTTAGCTTTCTCAAGCATCTTTCTTATGCGCTCGTCGTGAGACTTCATTGATTTCATTTTAACCTAGACCAAATATTTTAATGATTAAAATTTCATATATTATAAATGCAGTATATATTTTAATATACATGCGCGCGTGTGTGTGCGTGTGTTATATGTATGTGTGTATCACAAAAACTGATGATTCTCATCTTACCCTGAACGGTTCAATTTGATTGTTCCCTTTGTTCGTATCGAACCACTTGGTGTAACTTTCCAACATTAAATTGAGACTGGCCAGTTCGGTGCGGAATTTCTTCACTTCTTCCAAATAATCGATGCGCTTTTTTATATCCTGGAGACGAGCATTCGTCGCCATCCAACAATTTTGTATGTTTTTGATCTTGGACTCTTCATCTTCAGTGGATTCATTTGCATTTCTCAACTCTTCCATAAGTTGCTGACCGATTTCAAGAACTTTCTCGTACTCGTTCTTGTGCGACTCCATATCTGCGAGAGTATCCTCGTAAACGACTTTCTTCTCTTCCACGCTTAACTCGTCGAACACCCCCTCCGAGCGACCAATTTCCAGGTCGACGTAATCTAGCCATTTATACAGATGAAGCAATGCTGATTCAAACTCGTGTTTAGTGGTACTGTCGACTCGCCTCTTCTTCGAATCGCTATGTGGTGTTGACTGGAAAAAAAATAGTCATCAGAAACACTAAAAATCTAAAAGTAAACATTAAGGAGATATTTGAAACGTTTTGTTTAGTAAGTGATTTTCAGAAATTTTTTTGTTAAACTATAACACGTACAATTCTAAAGTTTTACATAAATATTTATCTATTCTTTGACTATATACTTACAGTAATTTATATATGTTATGTTCAATAATAAAAATTTTGGTTTCAGAAGTCTACAATGTCCAAAATTGTGGCTAACTATGCAAGCAAAACTTTCATTCTACGCGCAAAATTGTAAATTATAACTTTATTAGCATTAAAGATATAATAATATGTAGAAATTGTTATAAGTAAGTAGTTAAAACATAGATAAATGTACAAAATTTCAGAATTATCTTAGTTAAAAAAAAATTTCTAAGGATCACTTACAAAACGTTTCAAATGAAAATATCCCTTAAGGAGCATGCAAAATATACATACTGTTGCAGCAATCTCTTCCTTGTATGCTATACTTGTTACCGTCTCGGACATCCACTCATTTCCTTTTACAGTTGTCGTGCTATCTTCGGACATTAGGTCAAACTCGAATCCGGAATTCGTTATCTAATGCAATACAATAAAAGCAAGTTGTGAATATCAAGGAACAAGAGATATATTTTTCTCACAAGATTACTGTATATACTTCACAATATATTATTCATTAATATTCCCCACAATTATCCAAATCATAAATCACATACCCTTTGAGTTTGGACCTCCATGATTTGTCCTACAGCTTCCCATCGGTCCTGCAGATTCTCAATCTTCTCCAAGATATTCATACACTGCGGCGACGAGCCGTGGCCATCCAAATCCTGAATTGACTCTTGGAGAGACGTTAATTTCTTCTCATTCATATCCATTTCCGCCTTCAAAACCTGCAGCCTCTTTATACGGTCGAGCACTTCGCCGATTTCAGTCGCCGGATTAGCCTCCATTTGCTTCAGCGTAATTTCCGTCTCGTTCAACCACGCCACTAGCTTCTTGTAGTCGTCGGTGACGCTGTGCCAAAGCGTAGAAATGGACTCTAACCGCTGGCGCCGTTCCTCTTTCCACTGACAGATGTGACTCCAACGTTCGCCGAGGGCGGACAATTGATCTTCTATCTGAGCGTAAACCGCCTCGGAATTTTCTTCATCCACCACCACCACCATATTCCTCATGCCATCGACCATATCCTGCTGCGCCTGAATATCTTGCTCCAATTCACTTAGGTGTTTCATTTGCTCGTCGAGAGCAGACGGATTTAATTCCGCCGCCGCCATCAGAGAGATACGATCTTCCGTTTTTGTCAGCCACTGTCGCAGCGCGTCCAACTGAGCCTGTTGCATTTGCATCAGGACCTAGGAATGGTTACGAGTTAGCACAACGCGTCTGTCAAGTACAATTCAAGGGATCCTTCTCGTTCGTAATGTTTTATTTGGTGAGTAATTTTTAGAAATTTCCTTTTGACAAAACTATATGACATATCATTCAGAAATATTGCATAAATATTTACCATGTGCTAATTATATGGTATTTACAGGAATTATTGTATATAAAACATATATAAATATTTATACTAAACTTCAAAATTCTGTCTTATAGTTTTCAACAACAAATTGTTTTTAAATCACCTATAAAATGATGTTTCAAGCGAGAACGTTTAATCCCCTTTAACGTTTAATCACAGACCTGGAGGCTAAATATATAATGTAACGCAAAATTCGTAACTCAAAGTTGAATATTAGCATATCATGAATATTAGATATAAAAATATCTATTATTTCCACGAAGGCGCAAAATATATACCTCATGGATACTGGTTTGCCTCTCCATGGCGCGCATTCGTAGACCCTCCCATCGAGAATTCAGCAACGACATTTGCACGCGAACTTCATGCTCCTCATCTTTATGCAATCCGCCTTCCGCCAACAATCTAGCACCTTCCTCGAGAACAGTTCCCACACCGTCCTGATGACCGGACAGCTCCATCAAGAAGATTTCATGCTCGTGGAACTGTTGTTTCAGTATGTCCAGAGTCGAGCCCGGTTCAGGGGCGTGGTTCAATTTATCCTCCGCTTCCAAAAGCCACGTTAGAACGTCTTCGAGGGCGACCTGATAACCGCCAAGCTCAACGGAAACATTTGTGGCTAAGCTCATCGGCCGGGAGGCTGGCATTCCAAAATTGCCAAAGGACAGGGTGGTCTGGTAAAAATTAAAAATTAAAATTAAAAAAGTAAAAATTTTTACACACGGCCGATATAGCGATATGGCGCCATACTCTACTTGTTGCATGCCTTCTCGCTAAATCCCGAAAAGCATACCTCTGTTCCCGGTGTTGTGACAGGACTGGTACTGTCACTTGCGATTGAAAGATCTAGTTCACCGATGTCATCTCCGGAATGCGGTAACGATTGGAAGAGACACATAACGTACATCATGATGGACTTTTTATCTGGCACTGAAGTATTAACATCTGCAAAGTAAGACACGTGATAGGCAAGTGTCGTTTAACGTGACAGTATTGACAATTTTTCGTGCGTTCGCAATGATAATTAGAACACGAGAGAGAAAGAGAGAGAGAGAGAGAGAGAGTAAAACAGTGCAATATGCAATATTTTATATGTGTACCACAGGTCATTCTAAGCAAAAGAGTTCCGACACAAATATATAAGTCGATTCGGCTTAATTATCAAGATATAAAAAGTTGGATTCTTCTCAGCAACGCAATTTCTGAATGACAACGATCAGCCTCGCTCTGAACTTCTTTTTGCGGGGTTGTTTGAAGTCTCGTGTACACACTGACGGTAAACAAGACACGTCAATAATTGATTCAATAATTGACAGGATAATAAAGACTACAGATGGAATTCGCATTGAACTTAGGCAAGTTAATTGGCGAGGATCTATAGTTCAATAAGTAATAGTTTGCAAGCAGAAGGTGGACATTTTGAACAAATAGTATGATTAAGAGAATAATATTCACCTAATAAAAATATCTGATATTTTTTTGTCTGTAACAATATTAATAAAATTATTTATATCTTGATAACTGAGCTGAATTGACCAATAACGTATCGGAACTTTTTTATTCAGAACACATTCTGGAAGATCGTCAATTTTCTCGCAGGACACCTTGTATAATATGTACCTTGAATACATGTAATAAGTCTCGTGTAAAAATGACACAATTGCATTTGAGAGAAGATCAAAATACATAATCCAAATATATAAGATGAGATAAAATAGATAAGACGTGCGAGAAAGTTGAGAGGTGTAATTCACATTACGTATAATATGACGTCGCGTCTGAAATTACGTTACCTTCGGGATCCAATAGACGCTCGATATTGAGGTGTTCCTGCGCAAGCCGAAAGGCATGATCCAACCTGGCATTTGGATGTTTACGCGCGATATTATTAAAGTCAAACAGATGAGGCCTCCATTTGTGCAAGATCGCGTTAAATGCTAATCCATCCGACCAAGATGTGGTAAAATTTTTGATGTCGACGCCAGGATAATTCTACAGAAAGAACACGATATAAACAAATTAATCTGTAACTTATTTACTTCTCATCTACATATATATTTTTATCAATCCCGTGTGAATACTATTATAACGCGGTATTACCTGTGAATTTTGACGGCACCAAGCAAGAAGCGTCTTTTCTAGGTTGGTCTGTTGTAACTCTGTCATCAAATCTTTCAGATGATAATGCACCTGTTAAAATGATACATTATTAATGTAAAAATACAATAACAACAGATAGAATCTTCAATTAGGTCAGAATAGGAATCATAGGTCTTTTTCGAAGAACTTCCTGAACTAATACGCACTGGTGCGGTAAATTAGAGTGAGACAAATATAGTTGGCTTTACTCTAACTAATTGCACCAGTATATACCAACAATTCTCCGAAAAACAGAAAATTCTTCGAAAAAGAACAGATCTCATGTTATGTATGTAACTAAAGATAAAGAAAATAATGTTCTATGAACACCGTTCGTCTGTTTTATTTCACAAGAAATCTAAAATAAGCGAATTATATATTTAATTATCTTACTACTGTCGTAAGCTTCGTTAATTCCTTTACTATTATTAAACCGAAATCATTCTTAGGCCATGCTCGTTCGGTCTAGACTTATTACGTTCGAGATGTCTCCAATAGTCTTTAAGTTTAGAAATCGAATACAGTCTACCGCACAAACTAGTTTGCACGTGGTTAATCGGAACAACGTTGTTACACGGACGATCAGTTACTTGATACGGCAAAGATACGTTATTCTCGAACTTTAATTTATAAACGACGTGTCTCTTGCCAATAGCAGCCTGTGGCTCAGAATTGGAAAATTAGATATTATTAACTAAACTACAACCAATATTATAAGTCCGTAGCGTGGAAAATTGAAACAAGCATAAATAAATAAATCTGTAATGGTAATTGCATAATTCAATATTTGAACGTTGTTATCTAACTTACTTGCCAATGTAGAATAATACTCCACACCAGACCGAGAGTTAATTTTGGATTGCCGTCGACGATATCGTTGCTACTAATATTGACAAGTTTTACCTGAAACATCACATGACACGATATAGTCATTATTACGATATTATTACATACATGGAAAAAAAGAACACAGTTCCTGCCAATAGGGACCAGATGAAAATTCAGTGAGAAGAAATAAAAACTCAGCGACGAGAAGTGATATCTCTGTTACGGCAACTGAGAACATTCGTGTGAATATTCGGCCGCATAAAACTCGATCAAGACAACTAAGAACAACTGACTAAATAGAAACCTCCTACTTTTCTGTTCCTACGACCGGATTTTCGTCTGGTCCCCAGGCAACGGAAAATTCAGGCACACCAACGGAATTGTTTCATCCGTGAATAATAATATCAAGTTATTCATTATGTTTTATGACAAATTTGATCACCGAATCGCACTACGTCGGATCAGTGTATACTAAAATCCGATACGTATAAAATATCCAAATACAACGGCATAATATATAAGCACTTTGACAGTGAATAATTAATTCTGCTAAATAACGTGACAATATCATTATTAGGTGTTTAATCGTTCGAAATGTTTATACGCTTTGTTATTTAAATAACTGCTTCATGTATACAGCAGTCTTCAACACGCATCAATGTAGTGCGGGTGATTAAATTCGTTATTAGAGAACACTTGACTACTATATATATGGGGAAAAAAAATCTTAGTTCCTGCAACTGAATTAAGACCAGATAAAAACTCGATCGCGTACGGAGAAAAAAAGATTGGTTGAATTAACATAACAATGAACTAAACCAACGCGTTTTTGTTGGAACAGAATTTCTGGTTCTAAGAAGTAAATTTATTTCATAAGAACCAGAAACTCTGCTGCTTTCAACCAAAACGGTTCTTTCATTGTCACGTTGAGTCAACTAATCTTATTTCTCCGTGCGAGAAATGATGCTGCGACTGAAAGCATTCAACTGTATTAAAATTCGATTGAGACAACTGAGAGCAATTGAGTAGAAATTTCGTGCATTTTTTGAGTAGTTACTAAATAGTTCATTAACTTCTGTTTATTAACTGAGATGTGAAACTATTCGGGATCTCAATCAAGATGTAACTCTTCTTGCAATTACTGCGCATAAAAGATATGCAAAATCTGGACTCGTTTACTGAGAACAAATATACAATAAGTATGCAAAAACATTTACGAAAACATAAAGTGGATAAAAGGACTATTCAATTGATTAATAAGCAAGTCTGCTGCTGCTGAAATGGGCAGTTTTACCCTGGGAAGTAGCCCTGAATAAAGGTCTATCAAATTTTTGTCCACTTCCTACGCAGTATTGCTACAACTAATAAGAATACCTTAATACTAGACAGTAATTGGGTGGGTGTCTAGAAAAATTGCATACATTTCTACCAGGGAACCTTCTACGAGAACATACCTGTTCCTACAAGCGAGTTTTCATCTGATCTCCGGACAATGGAAATTTCAGTCACACAAACGGAACTGTCTTGCCGGTGTGCAGAAAATCAAACTGTCAATTTAATATAAATTCTCGCATACTCACGTTATTCTGCTCGAGGATTTGCAACGCTTTGTTAACGTTATTAAGATGATGCACTCGCATCCGACCGCGCTCCCTTTTCTGTAAAGCAATACGCGTATATTTCTCCCTCTTAAAACAGGAATCAAAACTTAAATCAGAAATAAGACCGAAAGATCCTCTCGAAGCTTGCGCGAGTGTGATTTATATATATATATATATATATGTATGTATGTATGTATGTATTCTCAATACATAATCCTCAGAATCGTCTGATTCTGTGTCTGTGCATTGTGCGAAATAAATATCTACGATGAAAGCGGACACCTGCGTGGGGCAATGCAAATGCTGGCCTGTATACGTCTCGCGAATGGAACAACATTCTTGCGTCCACCGCGCGCATTCATAATCGGCCGCGGTCTTATGCAAATACTGCCTATGCACGTGCACCTGCTCCGCGGCGATTCCACGGCGGTACGTGAACGCGCTGACGCGAGATGCTTTTAAAAGCGATTTTATTGAGAATTTCGCGCTTACGGCTGTGGGTCGTTTTCCAACTGTCGCTCTGAAAGCGGAATTCTCATCTGAAACGTTTCTTTTAGTAGGTGATTTTTAGGATTTTTTTTTTTTTGAAAAACTAAGACATGCAATTTCGAAGTTTATCTACTCTTTAACTGTATGCAGTAATTTTTTTACATTATTATCTTCGATATGAAGAAGGTTATAAATAATTTTGCTAGCGTTGGAAACGCGAAAGGTTGGTCGCCACGATTCCGGACGTTGTAGATTTTTGCAACCGAAAGGGCGAAAAAAATTACTAAACTGTAAACTTGTGATTATCGTCCGTGCCACGATGAAGTCAATAACTTTAATATTTAGATTTTGTCGAAACTCCCAAAGCTTAAAAACTGATTTGATTTTTCCCTCTTAAGTTTCGCCACCTCAGAAATCAATGTTTATTCTCCATCGTGATAAGAATGATAGTTATAATTTTTATGTCGTTTTGGTTTCAGAAACCTACAACGGTCCGGAATCATATCCATGCGAGCAAAACTTTTGTTCAGTCCTGCAAAATTATTTACAACTTTATCAGTATTAAAGATGATAATATGTAGAAATTATTTTACACGTTTTGTATTTTATACATTTTATACAGTTAAAACATAAATAAATATGCAATTAAAATAATTTAATCTTTCTCAAGAAGTTTTCCAAAAGTGTCACTTGTAAAATGATGTTTTAAATGTGAATAACTCTCTGAACGGACGACGTTCTCTCTCTTCCGCTGTCGGACAAGCGTATCGCCGAGGCTGAGAAAAAACTCTCCGCCGACAAAATCACGGATCAGCGCGCGCCGACAAAATCACGGATCAGCGCGCGCCGCAACTGAACGATTAATGAATGCAGCGCGCGAGCGCGATAAGCGCATTGTACTTACATAAGTCTTCGAGGTGAGCACTTCCAAGAGGGACAGCAGGCGATTGCCATCTCGTAGGTCGACGAACAGATCGGTGATCGGATCATGATGATTCTACAGAAAGTAAGACGGGTTAAACATCCGTCTCCCGCGTTCCTCCTCGCAGGAGGCATCTCTCGGATGGCGGTATTACATGCATCGCGTTATAAGATCCCGATAACGAGCTGACTAAAGGGCTGACTTTCACCAAACTCGGGTTACATTAATCGATCAATAATAATGAGAATCGCCAATTTCCAGTTCCGTAACTTTGTCGTTCGACAATAATTGAAAAGTTAACAAGAATCGCTTATTATTATCTTGCCCATTTTGGGCTCCTCACGTCCAGTGATAGATCGTGTACAAGTAAAAAACATTGTCCATTTTGCCACGGTAGCACCAGGAGGTGGCTCGCTCACCTTGAGTAACTGCGAATTTATCCACTTGGCGAACGTCTTCTTCTGCACGTCCTCGCGCTCATCTGCAACATCACGCGTGAATCGTTAATGAACGGGGGGCGGAAAGCTCGTCGAAGGCTCTTAAAATATTTCGAAACAACAACCAGTTCGATTTGGGTGGGGTTGAAATTCAAATCGGATCTGCGTCGGGGTTATAATCGTCGTGTTTTTATATCTAATAATATGACGCGTAACCAGGCGCGCAAACTTACAAGCCGGCTCGCCCGCCGAGCGGATATTATCGTATCGCGCGAACATTTTTCCAGAATTTCGACCTTTTAATATACGCCAGAGATTTCCGAATGCATCGTGGCCGTCGAAAAGCGGGGAGACACTCGTCGAGATATCGCGCGTTCTGGACGTAATGCGCGATCTGAACGTGTCCCGGAAGTGCAGTCGTGGGGTTCGAAACGCGCACGCGTTTGAATCGCATTGGTCGGATCGGGAATCGAAAGATTTGCGCACAACCTGAAATTGCGCCCGTCAGGTTGACGTCCGTCAAGAAATTAAACCGTGAGGTTAAGAAGTAAGCGGTAGTTTGTGGCACGAATAAACATAAAAATCGAGTTCTCAATTTTTTCACTGGTTTTCCAACGGTCGCTAACACGTATTAAGCAGTAAGTGTATGTTTATAAGAAGTAAGAAATTAACCAATCATAATCGATTATTCCTTCTTACACTCGAAGATGACTGGTCAATTTCTTACTGCCCATTGTAGACTACGCTTTACACTGAAAGAAAAAAGCGCTGCGTAAGAAGTATTAATTTGAATGCTGCGCTTTTTTCTGTCAGTACGCACGAGTACCTGGGTATGATGCATCCGGTTTGAAATTCCTAGGGAATACCAATCTAGTATATATCGTACATATTCCGACCTTGTAACACATGACGTCACGCACGCAGTGACCGGTAGCCAATAAACACAGAGATCGGTAGAATATCACCGGTACATGAAGTTATACCATTCTAATGTCCATTTCTATCAACATCGATCAAAATTCAATTCAATTTTGATTCAAATTCGATTTTAATTTAAAGTTAAATCTAAATGTTTCAATTAAATTGTATGACATATCTAACATTATATCTACAACAGCAGTTGAACTAAAAAAGAATGATTGATAGCAAGTTTAAATACGAGTTATAAAGGGGAAACATGAGAACTCCTTATTCGCTTCAACAGTCCTTTATTTTCCATGTTGACGACTGTGTTAACTGAGTTAATTATCGGTTAATTTCAGGAGATTTCAAGGTTCAGTGTCGTACTTTCAACCTTACTTTGGGTTTAAAAGTTACTAAAAATAAAAATAACATATTAATCTCAAGAAACACGTATAAAAGGTGTCAAGTTTCGTTGCAAATATCTCAGCTCTCGGACGGTCGATCTTCTCCTAATTATACAAGCAGTTAGATAATACTTCAATGTATACGTAGTGCAAGTTTTTCATCGAATTCTTATCAAATTCATTTCACCTCACAACTTGCTCGATCAGAACGTGAAGAAAGTTACCTTAAAACTTCTCATAACAACATTGCGTTCTGGAATAGTACAAGTTCGTAGATTGAAATCGTCATTCCGATCTGCTGAAAACACGATGAACGAGCGAGACGACATCACGCATCGTTACACTTTTTCACGCGTATCTAGAGAAGAGAGGGAAAGATAGCTCATCCTCGAAATTTATTTCAATTAAGAAGAGGGAAAGATAGCTCATCCTAGAAATTTATTTCAATTAAGAAGAAGCGTCGAACATGCGGCTCGATTATCCGTTACGCGTCCCAGCAGTGGTTAAGATCATTTCGGCATTTATAACGCATTATAAAGTAGAACAACAATCCTCGATCTATTTCACCCCCTCGCGCGGAGTCATCGCTCACGCGGCAATGACGGCGCCGGCGACTCGTCGTCTATCGCGTTGACACCAGTTGACCCCAGTGACTGAAGCAGTAAACTCGAAATTTAGGTCAGCCGGGTGGAAACTCACGAATACAGGGAGTACCTGTTGGCTATGTCGGATCGCCAAGTATTCGAGAAGCACGCCGGCGTCGTCGTCCGTTGCGTGGAACGGCGAATTGATCGTGCTGCTGATTTCATACGCAGTGATGCAACCGGCTTACAAAAACGGCCACGTATCTCGGCGCGTCGATAAGAATAGAAAAAGGACAGGTGATGTCAGGTTTCGCGCGCGTCCCAGTGTTTACTGATACGTGGGAAAGCCGCGAAATCCCCGAGCGCCATTCCTGCGCGCGCGGCCGCTTCGCAAAACGTCCTTCCGCGCGCGCTAACGCGCCCTTCCGCGCGGATTATATTTAGACGAGTGCGACACGTGCGCTCGCTGCATATTAAATTAGCGCCACGTAGAAAGAAGTCACGACCGCCTTAGAGAGCCATGAAGGAGGTGCTTTGTCGTCGGTAGCTCTCTCCGGCTACGCTCATCCGATTCCCGCGCTTTCCTCTCTCGGCAAAAAATCCCTCGGAGTATACGTGGCCCTTTCGGATTTCCCGACGGATCGCGCGGCACGTACTCGCGCGCGTACGAAAAAACGCGCTTGCTTTTAACGCCCGAGCCTTTTACGTCAAGTCGAACATAGGAAACTCATTCTTCGCGCACGACGACGACATCCTCGCACTTGCCCACTTGGAAAGATCGACTCTTCGTCCGGAATCCCCACGGCCGTGCATTCTCGCCTGAGGAGAACACACTAACCGACAGACGTTGTTGGACCGGCGGATGGATGAATGGGACATCGTAGTTTATCGTTCAGGAAACGCAGTTACGTGCGGGACACGCAGCCGGAAAGAAATCGCAAATGGCGATCACGTACTTAACGCGAAGCAAGCCCCGTAAGCGGGTAAAAGTCTTTCTCTCTCTGTTATACTACAGAATTTCGATATATGCTTGCACTATAAAAGTTTATAATTAAAATATCTCGGGGAGGACACGGTGAAGATTGTCAAAATGCTTGTTAATTGGTAGCTCGATTAACTTTCGTATTATACCGTTATAAAGATTTATATTTCGTTAAACGCTCGAGCCTCTTTAATTTCTCCTTTTCAAATTCCCTCTCTCGCTTTTACGTCTGGATCGACAGCGCTCAAGCTTTTACCTCGCAATAGCTCGAGAGGTTTATCATTAAGATAAAGATTAACGGGATCGTCGTCGGAAGGGACGATAAAAGAGTAACATCTGAATCCATTCGTTATTCAAGTCTTTGAAGAACGTAGCGATACTAACCGGTTTATTAATAACAACGAGTCAATTTGAACCTTGTATAAGATCGTGATAAATGCATTAATACGCAAACGAGAAGGCACGTTTGAAATTGTGCCGCAATAATCAATGGCGACTTTACACTTAGAGAATAATTATCATTATCTTCGGCCTCAAATACCCTTTTTATAGTTTCAACCACAAAAGTAGCAGTTGCAGTATGCATGTAAATTATTACCACTGACACTATATAACACTTACTAGAAAAATGGTTCTCCTGACTCTAAATTCTTTCAATATGACGATTATAATTACAAATAGCAAATATTTTTCTCCCAGTGTATGTTGGTATTCTGGTATTTACTGGCGAAGAAACGAAATTACGATTCCGTTCACAGGGCGGTGGAATACCACCGTCCAGCCCTGCGAAAATGTGGCGTTTCCGAATATGGTGCAGCGAGTTCTTGTTTACGACCCGGCGGTTTCTTTCCCCTGCGAATGCCGTACATCTCCTGTCAAAGGATCTTATCGCGCGGTACTGAGGACTGAATCGCGTATAACGATTTCCTGCCTCTGCGACAATTGGGAACGCGCTGAAAAACAACGTTGAACGTATCATAGAATTTAATATGAATAATTATTTCGGCGGAAAAACCTACTTATGTCAAGCAAATCGAGATACAAATGATTAAATGAACAATAGACGATGAGTAATCGTAGAACGTTATATATCGGTTAGGACATGTTAGTGATTTCAATTAATTATTAATACGACTGATTAATATTTATCGGCTGTGCAGATACGTGATAATTAAATTTAAATGAGATGATCATCGGAAATAAATTAATAATTCTCGTGCGTTTAAAATATTTAATACTTTAATATGAAATGTTGGATATATATATGTACAAAATTTCATATTAACATATCTTTTATATTTCACATTATATATCCAAAATATATATACTCTTGAAATCGTACTATTTATAAATATTGTTTTTGAAATAATAAATAATAAAATATATTTATATATTTTAGAGAATAAATAATTTTGTTTGTATTTTCATAAGCATTAACAAGATATAAATGAATGAGCGTTAACAAGAAATAAATACAAAATATAAATAAAACAAGAGAATAGATCATTTTGTTTGTATTTTCATAAGCGTTAACAAGATATTAGAAGAGTAACGCCTAATCCGGCTTATCCATGAGCCAAAGTCAGGATACCTCTACTTTTCTTTTCCAGAATCAACCGTGACCGTATTATTATTATAGGCTGACAAGGTGTACTTTATATAAAACTGGACAGAAAATATTTGTCAAGACCTAATTTGGTCTGCAAACGACTCTGTTTACGTGTGCACATCCGCTCGTTTTCTTTCAAAGCAGTCAGTGTAAACGGTAACATACTGGCATTAAGCAAACAGAGGACTCGTGTGTCTGTAAATACTTCGTCCAACTATAAATTAGCACATGTGAATGTGCAATTCAAAAAAGCACAGCGTTGTAGAAAATCGTATCTCGACGTTACGTATCGACGTTGCACAAGCCTCACAGTTTTCACTTCAATCATCGTCAATAAGAATCAAAACTCTACAAATCTAACAATCGACTTCGTTAACGTCTTCAATTAATTACGCTTATGGAAAGTTCTCCTGATTTTTCTTTTCAGAAGCAAAGGAGCTCGAATAACAGTATTCGATTCGAAAGTTGCGACAGACTTGTTGAATCCTCAATATAGAAATGAGCTCCACTGAGGGAACTGTCATTCGGATGTCAGCAAACGAATTTACCGAGAAATTCATAC